CCCTGCCCCTCAGCGCCCCGCCCGGGCGAAGCGGCGGGAGGTTGCCGCCTTCCGAGATGCAGGCCGAGCGCCAGCCAGGCCGGACGAGGCTTCCCCTCGTTTGCTGGATTTGCATTAACACATAGCTCTCAGTTTTGTTGTAGATGACCAAAGATAACCAAACTATGTTTTCGCATACCCTCAGAGCTTGGCCACATGTCATCAGCGCCCAGAAACAGGCGCTAACAGGGGTGCTAGTGGCAGCACCGCCGATCAATTGGTACCTAACTACCTCAGCTGCTTCATCAGAAAACCTGCCTAACGATGACAGAAAGGAATAAATCCTAAAAACTCCAGAGACAGGGGTCTTCCAAAGAGCATTTTCTGGAGATGGAGCTAGACTTTATTTATTTTGAAGAAAACAAGGTCATGGCCTAATATAGCTGTCCTGCCTAAGTTACAAAACCAAATACACGTGATGGACTTAAGAAAAAAGAAAAGGAAGGAGGAATTTTTATCTGTAGTTGAGACCAAATTTCCAAACTCAAACCTTAATTTCCAGAAGAGTAAGAATAGAAAGACAGTATCAATTTCTCCTGCAGCACCCAAGATCATCTAGGTAACCAGATTATCACAGCAGAGATGGTTAACCATGTAAATTCCACTTGCAAGTTGCTGTTGGGGAGGGACAAGGGATGAAAGACAGCATTTCCTTTCCTTTTTAGGAAAGCTTGTTAAGTGTCAGTAAACTTTATGTAAAGTAGTAAACTAAGCCATAATAAATAGAAAGTATATGGTAATAACTCTGTGACAGGTATAAACAAGCTTATGTAAAGTGTCGAGATGTTCCAATAAAAATAAATTTAATTTTACAATATATACATATAAAATCTTTTCTGAAGGAAACATTTTAAAATATTTTCTTTAAGGCACCTAGGGGGAAAGAAAAAAGAGAAGACAGTAAGACAATATGCATTAAGATTTGGAACTCACCAAACACCTGTGACAATAAAAGAATTCAGTCCTATCGTTGAGAGGATTTTAGAGGGAACAAGGCTGTCTTCCCTTCCTGCTGCCCTAAGTACTTCTTCAGATTACTCTATTAACAATATCGGCTGTCAGTAGGTTAAAAAAAAATAAAAGTACAAAAACTAAGCTATGATTCTTCATAGCATTGCATTCCAAGTATAAAGTTCCAAAAATTAACTCAAGTATATCTCTTAACTGACCATCAAATGTAAAAATAAAAGGTTTTTTCAGTAAATTACTGTGTGGAAGACTAGATTACATTTTGTTCCATGAAGAGATCAAGACTATAGAAATGTTCCAGATGTTATACAGTTACCCCGCTTATACTTTTTCTACATTTATAAGTCACAGGTAGTTTCCCTGCAGCTCTTCCACACACATAAGGAACTCATTCACTGTATCCTTATTTAGTTTGATTTATTAAAAGAACTTACTTGAAGAATTAAGCTATCTCCATTTCATCTTCATTTCTACGATAAAGAGGGCTAATCATGGGTTCTGTTATTTCATATGTTTCTACGATCTCCTGGTTAGAGATGACAAGAGTATGTAAGTTACAAGAGCTGAACTATTTCAATTTAATTGCAGTTACCACCAGGTAAGTAACAGTTTCTCATACTAAAGCACTATTTCAAATTACTAAGTTTCATCTGCACACTCTGAGTGAGGGACAAAGCAGAAGACTTATATGTGCTAAAAACTACTTTTTGGCTAAGACTTATTACAAACAGCAAACAGTGAGGAAATTGTATGGAGAACTTCCCCTCTAGAAGCAAGCATCATATATAAGGGAAGAAAGAGACTCCATAATTATGCAGCCCTCATATAAAACAGTAAAGGCAAGTCACTGCTCAACCTAAAAGCACTTAAACTGACCAGGCTTCAAGGATCAAAGATGAAACTGCTATCCCAGTTCTCAGTTTTCTTGCAGTTAAAAGCATTCATTAGATTTGTGATTGATCTGGAATCCATAAAATTAAATGTAGTGACAATATATACAGGACCACCTATCCTCATCAGAGTACATAACAGCACGATCTCAGATACATTCTTACACTTAAGAAAAAAAAAAATTAATCAAAAGTATCAAGTGCTATCTATTCTACCTTCCATTCTTGATGGTTCAGAGAGATGACAACCTGGTTCCGTGCTCCAGCACTATGGTCATCCTCCCTTCCCTCGTTGTCTTTTGAAGGTTCTGTTCAAAATACATTATTTTCAGAGTCTTTACACTTGTACATTAAGTTTCCTCCAGGAACACAAAAGCTTCACAAAAAGCAAATCCATTACACATGCTCCACTAAGCTAGTCTCTATCAATAGCCTGTACCATATACTTCTTAAGAAATTCCTTTAGTCTTACCTCCTAAAAATTCAGGAATTAACATTTCTCAGAATCCCAAAGGACCTAAGTATTTAATCCTTTATGAAATCCCACTAAAGTCTTAATGCCACTGATATCCCATGGGAATGAAAACCAAAAACCTCATACATAGGATGGCATTTCCTTTACAATCGTTTTGAAGTTGCAGCACTTCCCAACTCAGATAAAGGAGACTTCTTGCACACAAAAATATCTTTTCTCAGCGTAACAATATTCAAGCACTTATTAGTGAAAATATCACCTAAAATGAAAGGTAATAACCTTTTATTTCTATTAATAGAATTAATTTGTATAGATCAGCATAATAGCTTTTTTCCATATTTTCATATTTAGAGACTCAATCTCTTATGAGTTCCGCTCATAAATCTCTTCGTGCCTTCAATTATATTCACTGCATATCCCCGAATCTCTACTCTTACAGCTAAAAAACCTATATCTAAAACTTTGTGAACACATACGACGTAGCTACTTTCAATATTCCAACAAAAAGCGATTATAGTCTTTTAAAGCTATTATTTTTTACCTATTATTGGCAATTTATCGTCATCCAGTTTTAATCTTGCAAAACCATCCTAAAAGACAGTAGGATTTAAAGTTTCAGAAATTAGAGCTATCTAATTAGGATAATGCACTGACATTTCATATTTTTCATTAATATATTACATAATCATAAACAGGTACGCATATTGATAAAGACTCTTACTTAGCACAGCAAATAAGAAAAATTATATAAATATAGCACTTATTCATAAAGAATGCAGCTGACAGAGGACAGTTGGTAACTGTTGGATTACAAAAATTTGTTCTATTAAAAATCATTATTATTCATTAAATATACTTCAGTTAAGCCTTCATAATCACATCACTATTCACTATAAACCTGAATTTAGTCAAAATATTTTTATAAGTTTTTCTCTTTTCCCAAATTCATTTTATGTATTAGACAAACTAAGTATAGTTTGAAGAGCAAATCTACAGATTTGAAAAAGAACATAAACCACTGCACTGACATACTTTCCCACGACCTCAATAACTCTTCTATACTCTGCGACTACTCCTCTATAATCTAAAATAATGTGAGCTAGAATCCCTTTTTGAAAAGGGCAGTGACAGCAAAAATTTCACTATTGTTTCGTTATTAAATTGACTGTAGTAGAAAAGTCTAATAAAAAAAATTACCAAAATATGATAGACTTGCTTGTAGAAAATAAATTGGGATTCCTAATATTTAAATCCTAATCTGTCAATATTGAAGCCATAAAAACAACAAATCAGTATTTCTAAATAATTTCAATATCTAAAATAAGATTTCAGAACATGTCATGCCTTACCCTTATAATGAAGGACACATGAAAGATATTTTCCACAGTGCGTGCAAAAGAGTTTGGATCAATCACAAGATCAAAGAAGGAAATAGGTGTATCAGCTAGAGATGCAAAAATGGATTTGTTAAAAAACAAACAGGGGGAATACACAGAACTAGTATCTGTAAACACAAACTTAAGAAACTCAGTACTCGTTTTAAAAGCTAACTGAATGTTTATGTCAATTTAGTTACAATGCTGAATTCTCAGTTGCCTGCAGAAAGAAACAAAGTTTCTCCAGAATATTATTTTCTTCCATTTTTTGCCACACACACATACATGCACAGCAACTATTTGATTGCCTTCTAAAAAATGGCATGCTCTAATAAGAGGGAGAGGGTAGGATTTAAATTTACTTCGCAATCGAACAGCAACTGATTAGTGTTCGTAAAAAACACAGTCAGTATATATACTTCAACATAAAGATTTCTATCTGCAAACTCCACGTTATTTTGTTTCCATAGTTTAACCACTCTTAACTGTAGAAGATTAAGAGTATTCATTTTCTCAAATTAATGCTTTAAAAGCTTAATTGAATCATACTTACGATCATTTTTAAAATGAGTTTGCAATAATCCCAAGATCCTCTCTACTTCTTTTTCTGTAGCTTCCTGATGAGACTCCTCCATTTTTTTTAACTGGAAAAAAGAAACATCGTTTCACCTCAAATAACCACTATTGTAAGACAGGAATATGAAAATAGCCTTTTATGAACACGTAACATCAAAGATAATTTTTTCTCTCTACGCCACACACACACACAGTTACAGACACACTTATGCAAACGTGAGACAACTTACAAAGTGCTTTAGGAATCAATTCCCATCTTACAATATCAAACTGAAAGGCCAGAGTTTGTATGTTTTGAGTCTATTCACAGGTCTGCGCTTACTTTCCAATAGCTCTGTGGAACTGGGTTACCCCTAGAGGTACATAAGTCTGTGAGTTTACTGAAGAAGTTTATTTATAAGCGTAGAAGGGCAGTTCATTAAGATCTTCAACTTTTTTTTCAGAAAAGGCACCTAAGTTTACATGGAAGAAATGTCATGGCATGAAGTTTGACAAGATCAAAGGACACAATTATTGTGATGTTACAGATTTGTTCATGATCTCTAAAGCAGGGTGCTCCAAATTGTCCTTCAAGTAATCAGCAGAGTACCAAATTCACTTTTCAAGTACAGTCTTCAGTAACGTATTTGCTGTTCCTGTTGGCTAACACTTTCCCTTTGACCACCTTGCAACAAAGCAAGCTACAGAAACTTTCACTATATATCAACTATGTATCTAACACAGATTAGTAAGTATGCTGATCATCAGTGTTTACCTAAGCAAACCACAAAGAGCAGTCAGTCACTTCTGCAAGCAACTCTCTGAAACCCTCCCACTCCTTTTCTTCCCAGTACAAAGTGTATCAGAATAATTTCTATCACTATTTGGATTATTATGAAGCAGGCTGTATTTAAAAAGACATACTCAACATTTTGCCTCTATGTACTGGCATCATCAACCAGAGGTTCTCCATAACAACACGGTTTATTTTTGTTATGAAGCAGGCTGTATTTAAAAAGACACACTCAACATTTTGCGTCTATGTACTGGCATCATAAGCCAGAGGTTCCCCATCACAACATGGTTTATTTTAGCAAAGTTTCAAATGTAAGCCTCTCTAAGTATTCTCAGACTTTTGCCTTTCTGCCAGAGTAAAACAGAAAGAACAGGTAAAGAGAAAGCAGGGAAAATAGTGGTTAAGTGCGCTAATTAGTTTGCTGTTGTTAATGACATTTCTGGGCAAACACCACACAGTTAAACACCTTTTAAAGAGAAGCTGAAAACATGCTAAAGAAGCTTCTTTTTTGTTCCATTTCAAAGCAACAAGCATCAGAGCAAATAAGCTAATTTGAACTTGAAAAAAAACAGTCTGTACATCCTATTTCCTTCCACTCAGTGAAATTCTGCAGTCCACGTAAGACAAATCAAGAAGCCTAATAATGAAGTCCGAATCCTTTAGTACTACACAGTTAGTAACTACAAAACCCAAAACAACATGAACAGAAAGATTTAAGTCACTTCTAATAACTATACCATAACAAAGTGTTTAAAGATAACACTTCACAAACCTGAGCAGGCATTGCCCGTTTTTCTTCTCCTCCTGTAGCCTTTTTCTGCCTCTCAATCCGTTGCCTTGGTACGGGAGGATCAGACTTGAAAGATCCCAGCCTAACCGAAACAAAAAGAACACATATATGGAAATATGTTTTGCACTGTATGCTAAAAAAATCTATATACTGACCTTTGTTCTCCCGATAAAAGTGCAAAGTAATGACTGATATCTAAAAAAGAAAGCCTCATCACATTTAGAGATTTCTGTGAACAACCATCTCCAAAAGTTGCTCCCAATATACGTTGGCAGCCTCATACCAGAATTATCAACAGATGTATAAAATTTTATGCAATTATTCCAATTTTTTTGTTTTTTAAACTGAAAACTTTAAATCTACTTTTCGTAAAAGTAGTTGAGAAATGAAACAGAGTGTACGGTTTATATCCTCCAATATCTCCGTCTGAATTTATTACAAACTTTTCTGCCTGAAAACTCTCTCCACACAATATCTCTCTCTTTTTCATCTATTGTTTAGTTTCTGTAAGTTCAGGTTTGCAGTAAGCTTTTTTTTTCCCCAAAAAAAAGCCACAAGTTTTTAAAATATATTCTATCGATAGAACATTCAGTACACTAAGAAGAGATGCCACGTTTCTCATTAAACAACGTGAGTGTAATATACGTCCTAGATTTAGGCACTTTCTTGAAGTGCTTACCTCTCTCCATTGACTACATAAGGAACTTAAGCTCCTAACTTTGGTTGCCTTGAATCTCCACCAAGTTAGGTGCCTAAAGGAGAGAGTGTGAATTGAGACTCAATTCAAGTTAGTTCAGCAGAATTCTGCAGCACACATTTTTCCCTACCTTGGGTGAGTTGTGACCGCTCAATTTCAGAAGTCATGGACTGACCATGAAAAAAAAAAACAAACAAACCAAAACTCAGGACTCAGATAAGAACAGATCGAGTCAGAAATAAGTAGTTCTTTTCCTAAACTGAGAACTACACTTTATCATTTAAAATTAACACTTTGCAAATATTCACACATCCTCCATCAAAAGAAGCCTGTCATTACTTAAGATGTCAAAATGCAACCAATGAGGAAAAAAAAGGCTTTCTTGCAGTCAGTGTTGTCTTAAGATCATAAAAATGACTGGAAAATATACTTATTGTTCAGAGCTTACAGCTTGAAAGTGCAAACATAAGTTTGAAATACCTCAATTAGCTATCCAACATTAAAGATCAGATGTTGCACTCGCAGCTCAGGCGGCCAACCGCATCCTGGGCTGCATCAAGAGAAGTGTGGCCAGCAGGTCGAGGGAGGTAATTCTGCCCCTCTACTCCGCTCTGGTGAGACCCCACCTGGAGTATTGCATCCAGCTCTGGAGCCCTGAGCACAGGAAAGACATGGACCTGTTGAAGGAGGTCCAGAGGAGGGCAACGAAAATGATCCGAGGGCTGGAGCACCTCTCCTATGAAGACAGGCTGAGAGAGCTGGGGTTGTTCAGCCTGGAGAAGAGGAGGCTTCAAGGTGACCTCCTTGCGGCCTTCCAATACCTGAAGGGGGCCTATGTGAGAGATGGGGACAGAATTTTTAGCAGGGTCTGCTGTGACAGAACAAGGGATAATGGTTTTAAACTAAAAGAGGGTAGATTTAGACTTGACGTAAGGAAAAAATTCTTTACAATGAGGGTGGTGAAGCACTGGAACAGGTTGCCCAGAGAGGTGGTGGAAGCCCCATCCCTGGAGGCATTCAAGGTCAGGCTGGATGGGGCTCTGAGCAACCTTATCTAGTTGGAGATGTCCCTGCTCACTGCAGGGGGGCTGGACTAGATGACCTCTAAAGGTTCCTTCCAGCCCAAATGATTCTATGTTGTATGATCAAATTATTATATTCAGCATCTTTCTTACAATTACAGTGATACTTATTAGGGGGTGGAACAACTGCAAAAGCATAGGCAACTGAATAATATTCTGTCAGCTCTACTGTTGATAATTCAATTGAACTAGATCCTGCTATTGCAGGCTGACTTTATGAGAGATTTAAATCGGGAGTGTTGTCTATAAGCCAGATGACTAAGGGTCATTTGACAGCAGCTAAAAAGGCTCCTACTAAATGGGTTGCCTACGCATAAGGAGAGATGATGCTGACTCTATATAAGGCCACTTCCCAGTAATCAGGTGATTTCTTCTGAACACAGAGCCAGAAAGTAGATTCTAAAAGACAACCCATTAACACAGACATACAAGAAAAACTGTTGGTCTCTTCATGATAATAAAATCATCAGCTAAAAGATACAGACCCTGATGGACTGACTTTCCATAAATGTCTGAGAAAGAAAAAAAAAAAAAAAAAAAGGTTCTTCTAGTCATGATTCTGGTCGCGGCTTGTACAGGGAGAAAGATGAGGAAAAAGTCAGTTTTTAAAGGAAAGTAGATGACATCTACTGGTTTTGGTCTGAAACAGGTAAATCAAGAGTACCTTGCTATCTCTACTAGATACAAGTGATATTATTTTGTAGCTAACCCAAATCAAAATGAAAGACAGAAATATTACAAAATATTTTGGAGACAAGGAGTTCACTGTACCATAGGAACAGAGATCACACAGAAGTTCTTGTTGACACTCTGTGACATGAGATTAAACTCTATTCAAGCCCAGGGCATTAAAGATAAGAATCAACTAAGGCCATTAGCTTTGGCTGCAGTATATACTATTTCCTTAAATAAACTTACATATAGTGAAAAGAAGGTGCTCTTCTGAAGTACTTTTCTGTTTCTTCTCCCAGTTTATGCCAGGCATTGCTAGGTAAATAGCCACCTGAAATGCCCTCAGGATCACTATCATTTTCTTCTGCTTCTATGCGATTTATACCCATGAAGGTTAGCTACAAAAAAAAAAAAAAGCTGCAATGAAAATTCACTTAGATCAGTAGATATGTTAATGGTGAAATACTGTATTATGGTGCTTGTCCTGTTAGATTAATATTTAATATCACTGCATAAGAACCTCAACTTTCCTGAAGATACTGTGAAAGCAGAAAAACACTCACATACAGACTTCTTGTATTCAGCAAGCATCAGCAAGCAATGACAAAAAGAGCTATAGATAAATAAAACTGCCTATACTCCCAATAGAATTTCAATAGTCTGTGAAGTAGCAAAGCATTACTTAAATTGCACTATATAGCTAAGATGTCTCACAATTTCTGAACACCACACACTTCCAGGAAGCCCAGCTCCTCAAATACCATAAAACAACTTATTTGGCCCAACCTTGCATCCACCAATCCAGACTTCCCCAGGAAAAACTTCAATAAATTAACTGAACTTGATAGTTTTTGATATTGCAGAGCTCTAGACTTGACCAAAGACTCAAGACTCCTTATTAATCTGCTATAATGTAAGAGAATATTTTCAGGGAGAGAAAAAAAAAAAAAGTAGTCTGCTTCAAAGCTGTTCTGAACTGACCCTTCCACCCAGTCACAGTACAAAGAGACAAACATATCAAGTCCAAAAGCATGCAAGTAATCCAAAGTCCCATTTCACGTCAGTGATACAGGGCCTTAAGAACTCCATCCAAAAACATACAAAGCAGTGGACAGGATAAAGAAACTACTTAGCTACTGGGAAACTACAAAACAGTGAGTATTAGAAAAGTGCACAAGACTACCCTACCTTAAGAGCACAAACTGACTGAACTGTGATAAAGCAGCAGCAGTGAAACAATGGGGGGCGATATCTGCATTTTAAGTTAGATTTTCCCCTATGCATATTGGAAATGCTTAATATATAGTTCAAAATAATTAACAACACTAACCAGAAAGTTAATCAAAGAAACTCATAGCAAGAATGTTAAATTCCATCAGAACTGTCACGTACTGCCTGACAATCTGAGGCTTTTATTTTGTGATCTGTAACAAACAGGGCAAACCTCTAGCAAAATTGTTGGCAAATTCAGAGTCTGGAACTTACCAAATCTTCCGCAAATGCTAGTGAATCAAATGTTGTCATCGCAGAGTGCAGCTCATTGGCTTTCTCCTTTCCTAGATTTGATGCTAAGACAAGAAATTGGGCATCCAGCGCTGCCTCTCGTGCACAGGAAACTGTTATGGAAAAGATTTTATGTTAATAACACGGATTTGCCAAAAATATAACTCAAAAGATAAATATGTCAATGTAAATGCCAAAAACAGCTCAAAGAGTTGCAGTCAACAGCTCGATGTCCAAGTGGAGACTGGCAACGAGTGCCATTCCTCAGGAGTCGGTATTGGGATCGACAACACCTTTGTCGCCAACATGGACAGTGGGATTGAGTGCACCC